CTCCCTTGGGACCTTGTGAGATCCTGACAGGGTCTCAGCAGCCATTGGGGACAAAGCCACCCCCTGGCTCCAAAATAGCTCCCCGTGTTCCCAGGTGGGGATGGGCTGGGGAGGCCCCTGCGGGTCAGGGGCCCGGGGCTCCGTCTACACAGGGAGGACAGGCATGGCCACGGGGGCATCTCTGCAGACCCTCCACTGGGGCCTCGTCACCAAGGACCCCAGACAGCAGGCTGAACCCTGCTGGGATCTCAGCTCCCCAGCACCCCTCCCTGACGGTGACCCTGGGCCTGGTGACAGGGGTTTCGCCTGTCCCCCACGAGACACAAGCCCCACGAGGGCAGAGATCTGGCTGAAGGGCTCCCTGCTGGAGCCCGGGGGCCTGGGACATGGTCAGGGCTGCCCGGGAGGAGGCCACCTGCACAGGTGAGCGGGTGCTACCAGGGCAGAAGCGAGAGGGACCGGGGAGCAAGTGGAAGTTGCTTTATCCCATGAGAGAATTCTTGAAGGCCACTTCTTATGAGGAGCCACTGACCCCTAGGGAGAGCACCGTGGCCTCTCTAGGGCCGACCACCCTCAGGCCCCGGGTTCTGCCGCACACCGTCTCTGAGCCCTCACGTGAGCTCCCTGTGTCCCCTCCGATCCTCAGGTGAGGACCAGGCTCAGGGAGACCTGCTCAAGGGGACCCCACTGACAAACAGCAGAGCAGGGCCCCCAGTGGCCTGGCACACATGTGGCGCATGCGCTTGTCCCTCCTGGGCTCTGGGTTCCCTGGGTCAGTCCTGGTAGCTGCGGGTGCTCCAGGACGTAAAGGACGGCCTTCTTTTTCACGGTACCGAGCCTGAACCCAGGAGGGTCTTCTCAGAGGCATAGCCCAGCCCCCCCTTTCCAAAAAGACCGTTTATTTTGAGACGGGGTCTCACTAAGCTGCCCGCTGGCCTGGAGCCCAAGATCCTCCTCCCCCAGCCTCCTGAGCAGCTGGGACACGCGGTGGCCGCGCCAGGCGATGGAGGAGTCCTCGGGGGGAACATCAGACCCC